GGGCTGTGGGTGTGCTCTGAGTGCTGGGGTGTGACAGTGACATCATTTGGGTTCCTACAGCACGGATTTGGGGACTTCTGTGTTACTGAACACCTCACCTTCTCCAAGCTCTGCCTATTACAGAGATGATARAAACACCCCCCAAATGACAATTACAGCCCCAGTGGCTGCAGACACAGGGAGGTCTCCATCAGTCTGGCACCAGTGACAGCAGCAGGATCTTTGCTGAGCATTGATTACAGATCCCTCACCGAGTGGGATGACACTACTGACACCAGGTGTGATGCATCCTCCCATTGCTCACTGTGTCACCTCAGGCTTCTTTTAAAGTTTTTTTTTGCTCTTATTGACTTGATAGGCATTTTTTTTTTTGTGTTGTTGCTTTTAAAGACAGCTGGCTATTGTTCTATTTCTGGCTGGCACACTGTGGATGTTAAGTTAATTAACATTAAGTTAATACCCAGTTYAACTATACCAGTCTGCATTTAAATTGAAGCAAAATAATGCGTAAATAACTTCAGGTTCACCTCTTCAGTCTCTCTCACTGTATGAAATAGCTCAATAATTTATTTCCCTGTAGTAATTATTTTCGTGCTAATATCTTTTTGTGCATACAGTAATATCATTTTACTTGTTTCTTTGTCACTGAGAATTATCCTGGAGATTGCAGGACAGACAAAATAGTTTCATCCTGTCACTGACTGTGACGAATTGAGTGTTGTCTCCACTTTTGCTTTACGAATTCTGTCTCATTACCAGAAAAAAGTTTAATAACAGTATATGCTAAAAAATAGTTGACTACTGAATGCCTGTTTTAAATAAAATGAAATGTTCATCCTTTCTCTGTAAAAGACTTCTGTGTGGAGCTGTTCTGAGCCATTCAAAGCACTAGAGGTGTCATTCCTCACCAGGATGGAACTATGAAGTCAAAACTTGCAGATAATACTGGCAGGGTAACTGAAAAATATGAAATTGTAAAATAATAATTTTTGGAAGTATTAAATAAAAATATTTTACCTTCTTGTAAATACCAGGGAAATGTAATTTTTTCATATAGCATAGCATTCTTTCCTTTGCTTCCATTTTGGGAGAGCTGTGAACTAAGCTCATAGAGGGGCTGTTTATTGAGATTTTTGTAGTTTCRTTCCTATTCCAAGTTTCTGTCAGAAATTCTTCTCAGATGTGCTTAGTCTGTCATGAGGGACTTTGGAATTTGTCTCCTCTTAATTAATTGAGCTTATTTTCTGGTGCTTTTTGTCTGCCATTTTCTGCATAATTATGCTGAGAGCATTTTGACCTCTCCATTTTCCCCTTTTCAAACCAATACAGCTGAAAGAGGCCTTCTTTCAGGAATATCCCTCCATCTGGGTACCCAAATATGCAGCCACCCTGTTTTTCAGTCTCTGAATTCTCACTAACAGTGATTGGCACTTTGGTTTGGGGGCKCTTCCACTTCTCAGTAATTCTTTCACTTGCAAGTAATAAGCAAAACAAAAGAGAAACCAGTCAATGCAACATTCAGCTGGAATATTTTTTACTGCTTGAATTAATTACTCAGTAGTTAGGTAGCTCTGTGATTTAATTTCCATTCCTGAAAAACACCATTAAGACAAGTCTGACTGGTTTAATTCATTTTCTCTGCTTCCACACACAGATCAGCTTGACATCATTTCGATGGCTGAAACAACAATGATGCCTGAGGAAATCGAGCTGGAGATGGCAAAGATCCAGAGACTTCGGGAAGTCTTAGTCAGAAGAGAATCAGAACTCAGGTTTATGTGAGTATCAATCCTTCTGGGAAAACACTATGCAAAATTAATCAAAATAGGAAAGAACGGTGTTTAGAAGACTTTTATCTGCTTGACATTTTAAAAGGGAGGAAGATAAAGAGCATCCCAGTTAGGTAAGCACTTACAAAACGCCGTAGGGAAATGATTTTTGTAGTTGCAAAGGAAATTACCTTTTTTTTTTTTATATTCAGTACCTATTTTTTATTCAGTGTGATTGGCAGAATGCATAACATGGATCTACTACTTAAAAAARGAAACTTTAGCAAAGTCCATGTCTATGGAGCATATTTTCCTACCTGATTTCAGTCCTCTGTGGGGAGGATATTTGTCTGAACAAAATATCAACAGGTAGGGGATTTGAAGCTTCTACAGTCTAACCTAATTCAGGCTTTATTCCTACTTCATTAGTGGCCTCAGACAGTTCATGCCACAAGAGAGCCCACTGTGTTCTCACTAATAACAGCCAACATTTGACATTTGTTAAATGGAAGCCATTAAGTTRTGAACACAAAACCCTTTCTGATATATCAGATTAAACAGCGATTCTCCAAGAGGGATTTTAAAAATTGGCAAAAAGGTCAGGCACAGGAGCCTCACTGAAGGTTCRTGAATATTAATCCAATTTTGATTAGGAAGTCAATAGGGTTAATACTCCTAAATCACTGAATTTAGAARATCAGGACTTATTGATAAGAAGTGTATTATTTTGAAGTGTCCTCTGTCTGTGAGTGACATCAGAAACAAATGCCTTTGCTGACAAGCCAAGAACTTCAGGAGATCTGAAACTSAAACCTTTGGCATTAATGAAGCCTCAGTAGCCTGAAAAAACTTACTTTGTTCTCACRTTGAAGKACAGGGGCCTGGTACTCTGACCCTKCCACTGSAGGTGATTTTAGTGCCCTGACTTGCACTGCCAGAAGCTGAAATCCTCACCCTTCAAACTGCACACAAATCTGTCTTTGAGTGAGACTTCGACCCAGAATCTCTGCTTAGACACCTCTGGAAAAAAGGACTGGGAATGGTGGCACTGACCTTTAATAAACCTGAGTGGTACCAAAGTGTGAACAGGAAAGGTTTTGTCACTCCTGCTCCTGGCAGTCAAATAACTACTTGGTTATTGGTTTGTACATAAATTTAATCTGGGAGAGGCCTCATCAYTGAACCCTGCACTTCTCCTGACATTTTCTACATCAAACAAAGCGCTGAAATAAACTGCCCCAGCGAGCAGAAGCGATTGCTCTGTTTGTTCTGGTATCCAGCCTGTTCTTTTCATTTTCCCAAGCTCACACCCTTACTCTGGGTTCCTGGCAGGTRTTTGAGGAAGGGATTTGACTCAGGRGAGTTGAGAAAGGAACAGAAGCGACGCTCACACTGTGYGAGTGCTCTGCTGTGAGATCTCCTCCTCACATTGCCTGCAGCTGCCCAGGAGCATTCCCAGCCTCTCCCAGCACAGAGAAAGCTCTTCCCAGAGCAGAGCCTTGGCCCGGGGTGCTGGCAGGGCAGGCAGGGACAGAGGCTGCCGGGGTGGCCCCACTTTCTGTCTTTTGTCACTGTCACAGACCCTGTCACTGCTTGAGCTGCAGCACCCAAAGTGTCCCCTGCTCCAGGGATRTTCCTCAGCTTTCCAGCCCAGCTGCTCCCTGCTCTGCAGCAGAATATCCTCACTCTGCTCATTAATCCTTGAAGCAGTTAATTCAGCTTGTTAAATAAAGAAATAGTCAAAAAAGTTGTCTATTTGGCTTGATCTAATTTTTAAAAATGTTTTTACAATTTACCCCTGACAAGAGAGAAGCATGTCGCTAGTGACACCCAGGTAATACAGCAGCACCTGTTCTTTACTGCCTTTCATGCTGGATAATTCACACTGACAGAAGGGCTTGGCTGCATTTGTCTTCAAAGACAAACATCTTTTAATGACAAATGTATTTGAATGACAGATGTATTTGAATGACAGATGTATTTGAATGACCTGTTGCTGAGATTAACAGCACAAGCCATGGTTACCTCCGTGGCCCAAGTTTTGTATCTGTTTAATGAGACAAATGATGTAACTGTAATTCATAGATTATGGAAGACTTTYTGCATAGCCATATATTTGTTTTTCATTTGACTTCAGCAGTAATGAATTGCCAACGTCCCAAGACCAGAAGTCTTTATGTAGGCCATGAATTTTAGTAACTGATCTCTTCTGACAGGGCTAATTCCCCTGGGAATGACCTGCACAGCCAACCCCAGCAAACAGAGCCTCCTCAGACAGGTTTGAGGCAGACTCAGCTCTGAATGCTGCTAACGAGCAGCTCCAACCTACGCTGGGAGCACCGAGGGCCAGCCCAGCTCTAATGAGAGCCACATCTCTTTAGCTCTTGCATCTGCTTTAGCTTTTCCTTTAATTATGGCAAGAGGATAAAACACACAGAGCATTAGAGAAGATGTGTGCTGTGTTTGTGTTCTCTTTTTATGCCCTTCATGCTGTTAGCAACAGAACAGAAATTCTCTTGAGTTAAATTGCGGGGTTTTTTCAGTTCTTCTGAAAGCGTGAACACGATGAAATGGTTCTGTGCCACTTGCACATCCAGCCACAGCTCAAATTTCCAGCTGCATTTTTTAAAGCARTRCTTCATTCTTCTCACTGTCTGTCTRTCTGAYTGATGGTTTYATTCTCAYGTCKCYRGATCCTMAATCAGGACAAAGCCCATGGTGGCTGTGCTTTAGGAAAGCTCTGGAGCTGTGCTCAGTGTCCCCMGCCCTYCTGTGCCCGTGGCTCCCTCCTGTCMCAGGCACACAGGGCCTGGAGCTCTGCTTGCCCAACAAATCTTGCTTTTAACAACACTCACACTCAAGATTAGGAAAACAAAGCASCACAAGCTAGACCTGCTGCTGGTGGAAATCAGAGCAAGGTCTTCCTCTGCCAGCTTTAATACATGGAAGGAACATGCTCTAAGGTTGCTAATTGGATTTACTGTTTTCCTTGAGAAAGATGCAAATGTGGTAGCCATAAATTTGGCAGAGAACTGCTCCAGCTCAGCACATCAGCCAGTAAAAAAACCCCAGCAAACCCAAGTAAAATAAAAACCCATAGCAAGGTCAGGATGTTCAGTGGATCTGGAGCTGGTTTGCATTTTCCACCCCTGTGTGTGTGTGTGGACAAGGAAGAGCTGTTGCTGTCGGTGTGTGAGGCCATCAATAATGGGATGTTCCTCAGCTGGGTTTGTTCAGCACGAGCCTCTCCAAACAACACAAACTCTCCACGAGAAATCCTTGGCAAAACACAGAATCACAGAATGGTTTGAGCTGGAAGGGACCCGCTGACTGGGGGAAAAGGCAGGCATGCACTGATACCCATCAAAATGATTTTAAAATTCAGGAGATAACCTTTGGGAAGGTGCTGCAATTTCTCCAGGTCTCCATCCCAAGCCCACAAAGGGCCACGGAGCAGCACAGGCTGGCTTTTAGTGACAGACCAAGGATTCACTCTCAGACAAGCACAGATATTTCTGTAGTCTGCCTGTCACTGTAGTAAAAAAAAAAACTTTCCCCAAAATACAGAAAAAGCCATCTGTGAGAACAGTGGAACCAGGTTTTACCACGTTTAAAAATGAAACAGCAAAAATGCTTAAGTGAAGACCATAAATATGTTTCAATACACGTGATTTTTCACTCTTTTGCACTGCTTTGCAGTCCTTTATACACTCTTTTCCCTCTGCCTTGCACGTGGAAGTTCCTTACTGTGCACTAAGCATAATGTAAGACCTCATTTCAGGAATTAAAAAACAAAGCACTTAAAGCCAAAGTGTTGTYACACAAAGATACATTTAAACAATGTGACTTTCTGAACAGTGAAGTGAAAACACGTAGTACAGAAACTCCAACTGACATCTTTGATTCTCAAATTTATAAAAAATTTTATTGCAAAACACAACTTTTAAATTCTGCTGTGTGAAACTCAATAAAATTGGATGAGTGCCAGCTTATTTTAGCCTGTCCCCTGAAATTTTTTGATTTGAAAAGTGAGGAAAGCAGCTGAACTCTTTTATCTATTTAACAGAATATTTGCAATATACCACAATGAAATAGTTCATCCTCTAGTATATCCTTTAAAAGAACCCAGCTTTCTGGTAATTTTTGTTTTTATTGATACAAAGTCACAATGAAAGCAGCAAGAGCTGAAGCAATCGACTAACAACAAGTGATGATGKTTCCCGAGCCATTTTGCAAACTGCAAGTCAGATATTAACCTTTGTAAATGCGCCCTTTGCTTTGCTCCTTGCTGTTGTTTCCTCCTTTAAAAAAGAAGAGGAGGGCAGCTGAGAGCAGCTGCACTCTCCATATCCACAAACATCCTATTTCCAGCTGAATACCTGTATGCTATGAAGAATTACCTAAGACAATTTTCAGATTATGAAATCAAGCCTTCCTCAATTAGGTAATGCCACAGTTCATGTTGCACAATCATATTTTAGCTCAGGCAACGTCAGTGACAGCAGAGCAGATGCGCTGTGCTTTGGTCTGTAATTACATTATCAAATCCTATTTTTGTCTCAAGACCCTGCCTTGGTTAGTGCCCAGGATGCACCTCCTCAGGATATGTGCAGGTTATGTAGAAATTGTGGCTGTTTCTAGCATCTCTCCTTCAATGCTGCTGATACTATGAAATTTCATAARATTATGCCAGGAGCTGTTGTGACCGTCTCCAGCCGGCCCAGGAAATGAAAATATAGCTTGAAGCCATCATTTGCTGTCTCCAGCTCGTCTTGGTTTGTTTTTAGAATGGATCTGAAGGAGACAATATGTACAGAAAAGCAGCAGTTTATAGCCAGCCAGCATTCCCCCTCCTGCGCTTCCCAGGCTTCTCCCAGCTCCTTTCTTAAAACATTCTCTATAAAAAGAGTTTTGGGTCAAACTGTGAATGTTCAATCTGTCTGTGCTSTTAAGGAAAGCAAACACACCTCTTCAGAACACGTACATTCTCTCTTCCTTTCTAATTCTCC